ACTCAGGTCCTCCTGAGTTCAGGGCTGGTGCTCTATCCACTGTGCCACCTAGCTGCCCCTAGGTCGAATTCATTTGAGCAGGACATAGTTGTCACAATTTCAGGGTCTCAGCACCCCTAAACCTCAATACTATTATTACTCCCATTTTACAGATGAGGAAACTGAGGGCAAGTGAATTGCCCAGAGTCACATAGTGTCAGAGGCTGAATTTGTACTCAAGTCTTGCTGACTCCACACCCAGGGCTCTACCCACTGTGCTACCTAGCTGCCTCTTATTTTTATAGATTTAAAAACATTCTGAAAAGAGATCCATAGGCTTCCCCAGACTACCAAGGGATGCATGATATAACAAAGGTTAAGAACCTCTCTGCTTCAAAATCGTCAGGCCATTAGAAGTCCAGATGATCCCCAAACGAGATCAGCCACACTAAAAGACATATTTAAAATATCATTTTAAAATTTAAACTTAGAAGTAACCCCAGACTTCTAAGTCTTTTCTTCTGCTTTATTGCTGGAAAAGGCTCCAGAGGTAATGAAGCTGCTATACTGTATTTAACTCAGCACTTTCCATGCATGTGGTTCAAAGAACACACATACTGCCTGCTCGCTTCAATGAACAATCTCAGTGACAGTAATTATGCTCTTTGCATTCAGACTGCATGGAAAAAAGTGAGGCTTCTGCCATGACCAGGGATTAAATATTAATTATTCACACCATTAATAGATTCATGTGAAGGCTGAATCTAAATTTTAGTCCAGGAGTTTAATCTATAATTTATACCTCCTGAAGTTGGGAATTTCATTTTAGAACAGGCATTAAAGCACCACATGAAGATCACTGAGATAACTTTATGCCCAGTGTCAGAAAGCCAGTGGGGTATAGTGGAGAGGGTACTGGACCTGAGAAGGCACCATCGGGTTCAAATCCTGCTTTAGATACTACCTGGGTGACGCTGGGCAAGTCACTTGTCTTTCAGGCCTTTGTTTCTCATCTGTAAAATTGGGGTAAATATAGAGCTGCCTTCACAGTGCTGTTGTGAAGATTAACTGCAATCTAAAAACCTTTCATAAACCATGAAGTGCTGTAGAAATGTCAGTTACTCCAGTTACTATCAAAAGCGTCAACCTATTATAATAGATTGATTGTAGTCTACTATCAATCACCTTTTCTAAGGCGATCCATCACGTCTCAGCTCTAGCTCATTCCCTCTTACTTGTGTCTGAGATCTAATTACTTTTGATATTATGTCACAGTATGTCCTTCCATTCAATAAAGCCTTGTAGAACTGAATTGAACTCAACTCCATTTGCTCTTATTGTCTTCATAGGCATTTGTCGTGCCTTATTGGTACAGATGGACCTTGTAATAGAATTGAGTCTGAAAAATGGTCAAAGTCCAGTTCTTTTCAGATGACAAGATTGGCAGGAAAGCCCTTCCCTGTCTGGCTCTAATCTACCTTTCCAGGCTTGCTGCGCATAGGTCCCTTTCATACATTCTGCTTTTCAGCTAATCGGACTATTCTCTCTTCCCCAAACTTGACATTCTGTTTTCTTCAAAGGTCTCTTCATACCTGGAATGCCCTCCCTCCTCACTTCTGCCTTAGCTTCCTTCACCTCCACCTCTTAGTTTCTCTTACTTCAAGACTTAGCTCAAATCCTACCTTCCCTCTGAGATTACTTTCCATTTATACTGGATTCATCTTCTATGGTTGTTTTTGTTTAATCATTTTCAGTCGTGACCCTATTTGAGGCTTTCTTGACAAAGATGCTGGTGCAGTTTGCCATTTCCTTCTCCAGATGAGGAAACTGAGGCAAATAAGGTCAAATGACTTGTCCAGGGTCACACAACTAATATGTGTCTGAGGCTGGATTTGAACTCAGGTCCTCCTCACTCCAGGGCTGGCACTCTATCCACTGTGCCACCTAGTTGCCCTTTCAGGATCCTTAGCAAATGGCATTTATAAATATTTATTATGGAATGAATAAATATCAGCATTCTTCTAGTAAACCAGAGCAAGGCACTCTTTGTTTTTTTAAACACATAAACTTAACTTAAAAACACACACACACAAACTCAACTTCATGCCAATAAGATAACAGGAACATGGAAACATGGCTCAGCATGATAGGAAATGCAAAGTCTTATTTTGGGATCCTAAGACCCAGACAAAATCTTTGTCTCTATCATAGTATTAGAAAGTTTTTGGGGGACATTGCAAGGTTAAGTGACTTGCTCATGGTCACATAACTAATAATACTGCCAGAGGTAGAACTTAGGTCTCTCTGGCTCCAAAGTTATATACTCTAACACATTGCCTCTCAGAAGGTCTTACAAGTTCATTAAATCAATAGGTCACTGGGATGAAATGCCAGAGACACTAGTCTTAAATATTTGGGGGGGGTGAGGAACAGGTTTCTTTTATGGTTTCAATGCTCAAGTAAATAATTTTCTCTTAAGGTGTCAAGGACTCCCCTCCTGCTTATTCTTGGTTCTCAAAGTGTGGTCTGGAGAGCCCTGGACACCCCCTTTCTGAGGGTCTGCTAGATCAAGACTATTTTCATGATAAAACTAGGCTGTTTTTATTTTAACATGGTAAACATCACTAGATACAGGCCACATGCATTTCAAAATATTTTCAATAATTTTATCAATAATAACATCAATAATTTATCAATAATGAAATTATCAATAATTTTAAGATTGTAATGGGATCCTGATATTGAGGAGTCTGAGAACTGCTGGTCTATATGAAGGAGAAGGAAAGCTTCAGAGTAGCCCTTCCAAGGCTGGGGCCGGAACTCATGACAGCCTACGACGTCTGCAACTTAAGAAGGAAGTTGCTGGTCTGCCTTCACTGTCAATTGAGAGACAATGCAAAATAAGCCCCCAACCAGGGGACTTTCGTTCACTCAGGACACAGAGAGACAGGACTCATCCTTTGGGGACAGAAGAGCATGGATGGAGTTAAAGTAGCCCATGTATAAGGATAAGCAGAAACAGAATCCTAAAGACAATTGTGAATAAGTGAGCTCTTTCTCTCTCTCTGGTTCTATAATTCTGTCTGATGCCATGAAGGTCCCATAGCACAGTGGGCTCTGAACTGGCAGGGGAAAAGGAGAGAATAAGTCTTTATATAACACCTACTATGTGCCAGCCACTGTGCTAAGTGCTTTGCAAATATAATCTTATTTGATCCTTACAACAACTTTGCCAGGTAGGTTCTGCTATTATGCCCATTTTATAGTTAAGGAAACGGAGGCAAACAGGTTAAGTGACTTGCTCACAGCTAGGAAGTGTCTGAGGATGTTTTTGAACTCAGGCTCTCCTGACTGGGTTCAGATCCTGTTTCTGGTGCTTACTACAAGTGTGACCTCGGGCAAGATACTTAACATTTCTGAGACTCAGTTTCCTTGCCTGTAAAAGAAGAGGTTGGTGCAGATGGCCTCTGAGGTCTCTTTCAGTTTTTAATCTTTTTCCATTTCTGGTTCTGTAACCTTATCTGACTTTATGGACAGCTTGTGATGCCATGGAAAGGTCTGGAATCAAAGGAGTTGTGTTCAAATCCTGCCGCTGATGCTTACTATTAAGTAACTTTTGGCAAGGGAAATAACTTCCCGTAAAGTGAGAAGTTTGGACTGGGTGGCCTTCCAGGTCCCTTTCAGCTCTGGGATCTCAATAGTGTTATATGTTCTGGACCATGGCATAGTGGACAGAGCATTGAATGTGGAATTAAATTTGGGTTCATATTCTGCCTCTGATACTTACTAGTTGTGTGATCACGGAGCAAGTTACATAATCTCTCTCAGCCTCAATTTTCTCATCTCTAAAATGGGTATAATAATGGCTACAGTGCCTACCTAAGGAGGTTACTGTGAGGATCCAATGAAACAATATAGGTATCATCATCATCATCATCATCATCCTTCTCCTCCTCGTTCTTCAGAGTTGACATACCTGCTCTCAAGATCACAGATATCGGACGGTACTGTGATGTTGTGAAGACCCGAGTTCAAAATACTCCCTCAGATACTTACCAGGCATGTGGTCCTGGATATTATTTGAAATCACTAGGTCAAAGGGTATGAACAATTTTACAGGTCTTCCTGTATAGTTCTGTCAGTTTCACTAACAATGTACATGTCCCTGTTTCCTCACAATCAACCACATGCTCTGCTCCACTGGAGTCAGTTTGCTTGTTGTCCTTTGGATAGGCTTCTCACTGGGCCTACCTATTTGAGAGCATCCATCCTGGGAGGTAAGGGAAGGAAACAATGCCAAGGAGTCGATTCCTGCCCCTGAAGATTGGGATTTGTTCTAATTTGATTTGGACCATATGATGTAGACTTCAGTGGACCTAAAGTTGGGGGAATTATCTCAATTCCAAGACATTCTTTCTCCCTTGGAAGACTAGAATGGACCTACCAAGTTAAAAAGTAAGGATGGGTTGGGGGTGGGATGAGGTGGGATGGGGAACAAATATGTGCTAAACACCTACTATGTGCCAGTTGGGCACTGTGCTGCTTTAGAAGGTGAACCCACTTTTGACATTAGTCAAATAAGTTCATCTACATTTTGATGAATGAATCAAAAAGCATTTATTAAGCATGAGCTATGTTTTAAAACTGATAAATAGAAGTATGTATAGAACAGTTTTACATATATATACCTATTTGTGTCTAATGGTAGCCATCTCTAGGGTGGGAGGGGGGTCAGGAAGAAAAAAAAGAAATTGACATGATTTGATTGTATATTTGAAAGGAATAGCAAGTTGTGTGTAGTAGATTTGTAATTTCATGTGCAATCACCCTTTTATTGTCCTGTTATGAAAATGCTTGTTTTATTCCATAAATTAAAAAACAAAACAAAACACTGTGCTAAGCGCTGGGGATAGAAACTGAAAAGCAAGCCTGATCAGAAATGAGTAATAAGTTTTTAATGTCTATGTGCCATAGTGGTTATTATTATATCCAGTCAGAAATAGGAAACATAGATCTCTTACCACATAGGCCAGGAACTGCCAGCCAACAAAGTAATACTGTACTTTTCTTGCTGTGATATCCTGAGTTATGTTTGGAGCAAAAGCCACCAATATATATGTTCCTGCAAATGCCAGTGTCACACCTTTATGTGAAAAGAACAACAAAAAAAAAGGAAGATAAGTTTTAAAATAAGATAAAAAAAGATGTATACTTAGGTCCATTCATCCATACAAATACCACTGCTCAATTAATTCTTCCAAATAGAGAATCTGAATAACAATACTTTTCAAAGGTGACAAATAGAGCAGTATAAATGTGAAGAACATTGGATATAAAATCAAAAGAGCTGAGCTTGAGGTCTGGGCCACCATTTACCAGCTGTATGATTATAGATAAGCCATTTATTCAACATGTCTTGGCCTTTGTCCACATTTGTAAAATGTGGGATCAAAGATGTTAGGTGGAACAGTGGATGGAGCACTAGACTTGGAATCAGGAAGATGTGAGTTCAAATTCTGCCTCAGTGTGACCCTAGGCAAGTCACTTAACCTCTTTCTTTTTTTGGATTCATTTTCTTCATCTTTAAAATGGGGATAATACCACCTACCTCACCAGGTTATTGTAAGGACCACATGAGACAACAAATGTAAAACTCTTTTCAGATGTTAAAGATATGTGTATGTATGTGTATGTATGTGTCATACATATATGTACATATAGACACACATACATTATACATATATAATTCTTATTAGCAATTAAAGGAGATATACTTTTTAACTGTAAAGTGCTATATAAGTGTAAGCTGTTATTATTTTCACTCTAGCAACAATTCAGTGAGATGCAGTGGAAAGAAAACTAGGTTTGAAGTCAGAGGAACTGAGTTCAAATCCTGGCTCTGCCATTCACCACCTGTGTGACCTTGGGCAAGTAACTTCATCTTTGTAGGTCTCAGTTTCCTTTTCTGTAAAATAGAGGGGTTAGATCACATAACCTCTAAGGTCCCCTCCAGCTCTAAAACTATGACCCTATGTCCTTCACTAAAGGCCCAACTCTAATATCTCCTTATGACAAGGAAGGAACCCAAGGTTCTCAAAAGCTAGGCCTGGAAAGCGCAGCCTTAAACAGACTCTACCAAGCTAGAAAGGTGAGGATAGGCTGGGGTGGGAATGGAGAACAAACATTTATTAAACACCTACTATGTGCCAGCTGGGCACTGTGCTAAGTAGTTTACAAATATTATGTCATTTGAGATAATATTATTCTAAATATAATCTAATCTGGCTTGGGGTCAGATTGTAATGTCTACAGTCTAAGAACTAGTCTAGTTGCATTCAGAGAAGTTCACTACTACCTTGGCCACAGAGGGATGAATTTTTAGGCCACAGCAACTTTCAAAGACCACTTTCTCCATGAAGCCTTTCCTAGTCTTCCTTATTTTAATACCTTTCCTCTGAGATTCCCCCCAAGTGACCCTGTGTATATCTTGTTTGTATATAGGTGTTTTCCTGTTAGACTATGAGCTTCTTGAAAGCAGACTGGTTTTTTGCCTTTCTTTATATCCCAAGCACTTAGCACAGTGGTTCATATATAGTAGGTGCTCAATAAATGCTTGACTCACTGACTGACTGGTCCAACACATCTGTAGTATCTATGAATGGCAATCTGCTTTGGTGGAGGGAGTACTCACATCAACATCAAATAATATCTGACCCTTACAGAGCACTTTACATACATTATCTCACTGGGTCCTCACAACAACCTTGGGAGCTAAGTACTATAGTTATTATCCTGCTTCTTTTTCAGATAAGATGAGACCTTGGAGAGAGAGAGAGTGATTTTCCCTTGGTGATACAACTAGCAAGGGTTAAGAGGAGGAATTTGAACCCTTTTGTCTGCTGACTGTTTCCAATATTTTTCCATTATCAATCAATTGACAAGCATTTATGAAATGCTTGAATGAATGAATGAACCTATTATGTGCCAGGTACTGTGCATAAAAAGACAAAATTCAAGTAGCTCCTGCCCTCAAACAGTTGCTATTCTATACTACATCACACTGCCTCTTAATGGTAGATTCTTTAAGTAGTAAAATATAAAATATTTGAGTAGCAGCTGTATAGGTTTCCCCAAACTACCCCTCCCATGCTGGCCTAGCATCCTTTGATCTGCCTTTAAAGGGGGCAGAATTGGTTTTCCTTCACTGTTCTAGATGAATTTCTTTCTGTGTCTCTCTCTCTTTCTCTCTCTCTGTCTCTGTCTCTCTTCTTCTCTCTCCCTCTGTCTCTTTCTCTGTCTCTCTCTCTGTTTTTCTCTTTCTTTCCATTTCTCTCTGTTTCTCTGTCTCTGTGTGTATGTACATATATGTGCATATGAATGTATGTATTTGTCCTATATATATTAAGTTTGTACATAGTTTTGTGCCTGGTGACACCCCCCACCCCACACCCATTAGACTTTGAGCTCCTTGAGAGGAAGGACTACTTTTTGTCTTTCTTTGTGTTCCCCTAGCATTTAGCACAGGGTCCAGCACCAGTCCTGTGCCCAACTGCCTGGTACATAGTATACACTCAGTAAATGTTTGTTGATTATTTGATTGAGTGAATATTCTTGAGCTTTCTGGACCTGTTTCCACCTCTTCAAAGGAAGAGGTTGGACTGGATGATCTTCTAGTTTATAAATCCATGTTCTTGCTCAGTAAGGCCTGCCCTGGGATGATACAGGGAGCTCTGAAATGAACTCGATCCTCTAATTCAAACTCTTGGAGGAGCCCTAGAATCAGCTGAATTTCCCTAGGATCCTTCAGAGTACGGATACTTTCAGGTCACTGCTGACAGTCCAAGCCATTGAGGGAGGCTTAGGTTGGACAGTTTCGGGAGTGAAATGAGTCAGAGCCTTAGAAAGGTCTCAAACTCTCTGGGCAGCTCCAGACTCAAACTGTCCCATCAATTCTCTCAACCAGGAATCATTTGCAGCTGGTCTCGATTTGCATCGCTGACATTTGGCCCCAAACCAAAATGGCCCCTGGGCACAGCCACAAAGGCAGAAGATGTTCTTCACCTCCCCATTTTACTCTTGGCCTTCAAGCCAAAGTTAGCTCATGGTTCTCATCTAGCCAATTATTTATCAAGACCTCAGTATAATTATGTTACCAGCCCCTGGAAAGTGTCAACGAACTGACAGTAATTGTGATTCCCCTGATGGAAACACGTGGGCTTAAATCAAATAAGATCTCTGAGAATCTCACAACTAGTACTTTTGGTGAAATGGGGAGAAGGGAGAAAAAACGATGTGCTGGTGGCTGACATGAGAGAAGGAGGTGGGGAGCTCTGATATTTTAGGTTGTTTTTTTTTTTTAAAGAAAAAGAAATAATTTTAACCATCAATTCACTGAAAATCAAAGTAAGACCTCCAAACTGCCACTAAGCTAATAACAGCTGGATACACTTTTTAGTCAACTTCTGTGGGATCATTTTTGAGATTTGCCAGAGGATCAGAGTTCAGATTCTACCACTGTGTGACCTTGGGCAAGACACATACCTGGCGTACGTGTAAAGGAAGAACCTCGGAGGTCCCTTCCAATCTTAGATGTATGATCCTATGAATAAGGTCAAACATGTGGCTTTTAATTAGATATCATAAAATAAGTATGATTCATCTGCTATCAATTCCTATGGGTTAGAGCCTAAGGAGGGAGGAAGAACAACCTTTACAAAGACCTGTAACTGAAAGTATAAAAAAATCATCGTTATTTAATATCATCTCACATTCATATAGCACTTCAAAGTTTATAAAGTACTTTCCACATAATAACCGGGTAAAGTAGGTAGGTCAAGCAAGTTTTATTATTCCCATTTTACAAATGAGAGAACTGAGACTCTAAGCTGTGAACTGACTTGCCCAGAGTCACAGAGCTATTTAGAGTCTAACCCAGGATCTGAATCTAGGCTTCTTAACTCTAGTACTTTTCCAGATGGGCAAGTTAAGTGTCTTGCCCAAGTTTATGCATGCAAATAGGCATTAGTGGTAGGATTGGAATTCTGGTCCTTTGACTCCATCTAAACCCAGAATGGACCTGGAATCAGAAAGACCTGAGTTAAAATCTAGCCTCAGACACTTACTAGCTATGTGACTCTGGGCAAGTCGCTTCACCTCTTTCTGCCTCAGTTTCCTTAATGGTAAAATGGGGATAATAGTAGCATCTGTCTCCCAGTCCTTTTTCCACTACAGCACCTTCTGCATGAAGCCTTTCTGGATCTCCCAGCTATTAGTATTCTTTTCCCCCATTGCTCTGCTTTCATTTGATATATATTTTGCATCTACTTCTATGTGTTCATCTTGTCTCCTCTGATGAAATGTAATCTCCTTGAGGGTAGAGATTATGTCACTTTTGTTTTTGTATCTTCAGCACCAAGGTCAGTGCCTGGCAAACAATTGTGGGGCTTAATAAATGCTTGCTTGATCAACTGAATAACTGCAAACTGCCTCGCCTAGTCACCCGAACTAGGAGAAATCAGATGTTATTGGGAATTATTTCTGCATAGTACAGAACCTTGGTTGATAAAGTTAAAAAAAAAAAACTAAGAAAATTTTTCCTTTGGTTTATTAGAAAATAGATGGAGAGCCTAAAGAATTACTCAGAGAAATAGTATCGTATAGAGTATAGGAGTGGTGGAATTATAACCAGGAAGTTGTTGTTCAGTTGTTTCAGATTCTTTGTGACCCTTTTAGGCTTTCTTGGCGGAAATACTGGAGTGGTTTGCCGTTTCCCTTTCCAGTTCATTTTACAGATGAGGAAACTGAGGCAAACAGGGTTAAATGACTTGCCCAGGGTCACACAGCTAGCAAGTATCTGAGACCAGATTTGAACTCAGCAAGATGAGTCTTCTTGACTCCAGACCCAGAGCTCTATCCAGTGCACCACCTATTTGCCCCACATAATCAGGAAGACCTAGGTTCAAATCTTGACTAGTTTTGGGTGACCAACTTAACCTATTTGAGACTCATTTTCCTCACATGTAAAATGGGTATGTTAATACCTGCAGTACCTACCTCCCAGGTTGAGATGAGGCTCAAATGTATGTAAAGTATTTTACAAATTTTAAAGCAGAACATAATGTTAGTGGGGAAGCAGTATGATGA